GGGCCGCGGTCTTTTCCCGGCCACGGGTCCCACCCTACCTACCCGTTCCGCGCGCAGGTCCAGAGATCCACGCCTCCTCCTACACTAACTATCTGCCATTTTTCTTGTCAGGTCCCTAACTACGCAACATGGGACACTTCTCGTGTATCGACAATCCTGCAACACATTCTAATTTTCTTCTATTGGAGTGCAGTGGGTACCAAGGAATGTGAGATCAATGGCAACGTGTAAGTGTATCTTAAGAAAAACCCTCACTCATTTAATTAGCCGATTTTACGGTATGCTCGTACAACTTTTATATTTCGTATATTACATGAATTTAATACTTAAGGTTCTTATATTGATGCGAGTTCAAGCTGTACTTCTTTATTCTTTTCTTTATTTCTATTACACAAAAAAAAAGGAAGACTGAAAAAAACTTGGTATCTGTTGTGTAAAATTTTATCATAATATAATTATGATATATGAATAATGAACGACTTTTATGTTTTGCCCTTCCCACTTACTCCAATTTTACGCCTTCGCGCGCAATACGGAACATGGGCGCCTGAACGCTTCCAATATAGCGACGAGTGTGTTCAGTTCGGACTCTGGGATCGTCGGTCACTGGTCCGAGAATACGATAGTACTCTAATATTAAGTTGTCTATGATGTTGTGGAGATAACATCGGAACGTCTCCAGCGCGACTTATGGAGCCATTTTCGACAAGAAGTGACCTACTCAAAGATTATCTCAATAAGATCTATTTGCGAATGGGCTGAGTACCAGTCTATACGCCTTACAGTTCATGTGTTAAGGGTACTTTTTAATTCCAATACTGCCTATCAGTTTCTTTATTCATATGAAGATTTGAACATTCTGATGCTATTCATAAAGATATAGTCTGTGAGATATAACGGTATGACATATCATCTCTGTGAAGTGCTTAGGTCAGATCTGACATCTCCAAACAAGACTATACACAAGAGAACATATTCGTAGCGTCTAGATCGTGGAAGGCTGAAATCTTAATGTGAAATCTATTCCGGAGGTAAAATGTCTGCCTACTGTATTTGACTAGAACTTTCTCCGGCATTGAAGCTGATTTATGTGTGTAATGTTGTAATTTCAGACTAAGACTATGTAGCAGTGGAATTGAAAATCAATGTTGATGATTGTCTGTTTAAAGTTTTTATGATTTCTCATTTATGAATAAATAAATGCGTATTGAACATGTAGATTGAGTGAGAAGACAATAATATTTTTTAAGTCTTTTTTTTAAATAGTAAAGCCATTTGGCCCCTTTTCTGCCTTCTCATCCAGTCGTGAAATCCTATGGCTGGATATGGAGACGAACCTCCAAATCATTATAGGAAGTAGTAAGTGCTGCCCCTTTTGGGTTCATCCCAGCATTTTACCCATTTTCCTGGGGCTTATATTCAGAGGTAAGTTTTCTATCCTGATTTAAGATAGCAATAAATAATTATACCATGACATTGATTGTAGTACTTTAAGACTAGTCATAATATTTGTGTGAGTGTTTCCTTGACACTTGTAATGATAAATTCTATCTTATATTTTTGGCCATTTCTTGCCAAAACGACTATCTTTTTGCAAGAGACACCAAATGGCGTATTCACCAGAAGATGCAGCTGAAGTTTTATAATGTACCACACAGGCTGAAGCATAGAGCAGGTAATGTGAAAGTCTTTGACAAGGGATTGAAAACAACTTCTTTATTGCTAAAACTCTTTCTTTTTCAATTGAGAGGTTACATGCTTTTATAAACTAGCTGTTGGCTTCTTGCAACAAATTTCAAGCGTAAATAAACATGTTTGTGCAATTTCGTATATTATACACTCCCTATTATATATTTTTATTCTCTCCTTCTCTTCATCATCTCGTCCTTTTTCTGCGTCATCTCTCTCGAATCTATATATGATTCCTGAACGAGCTAATTACCAAGGTAGTTTACTCTGATAGATACTGCTTTGCAAGTTTATATAATCCGATCTAATAATAAATTTATTATATAACAGTATCTGACTTACTAATATACTGCCGTAAACCAAACCTAGCTAATATGGGTCCAAGTAATATGTAGCCGCCCAAACATACCCCGATATGGCTTTACATATATAGTTATAATATATGTATATATATGTAATAATATATTTGTGTGTGAGCTTATATATAGATAGGATAATAATGAGTGATAACTCTATTATTGTAAGAACTCAGTATATCTACCTGTGTTAATAAAATATAATATGTATATTTATATGTATATGCTACTGTATATGTATGTTAATATGTATGTATGTGTTAGTGTGGAGTGTGGGTGCAATATTTGCGGTGTTATGTATAAAAAATATTATGTAGAGTAGTAGTGTTATGTATGTATGTAGTCATATGTATGTTGGATGTGGTAATGCTATACTTAATGTGTTCCTCTACCGGTATATTAGTATGTTTTTTTTTTATTTTTTTTCCTATTATATGTATGTATGTATGAATCGTTTAAGTATAGTATGAATTTTACGATATAGATTTGGATGTCATCGTATACAGTGGGGATATGTTCATGTATGTAGTATGGTATGATAATTTGTCCTATGTTGTATGATGCTATTAGTGAGTGTACTCTCTGGAGATGTATGTCCATGATCAAGTACTGTATGTATGTTGATGTATGTACTCTGTTTATTGTGGTATATGATTTGTATAGTTATGGTGATAATTGTTTATGTACTGTAGGTTTATTTATAGTAATGTTATTTTAGTGATGTTATGCTGATGAATTTGTTGAGTTCATGTGATAAGCTATGATATTATGTATGTGAGTTGTATATCTCTGCTCGTGTATGCTATATGCTTAAATACTATTGTTTACTTATGTATGTTATGGACCTCAGTGATGTATGTGTATATAATAATGAGTTTGTTTAATTGGTACTGAGTGAGTTATGGTATTTCTTAGTGAGCATAAGTAATGATTATATGTCTCATGTATGTATATGTATGGTAGGTATATATGTTATGTATATATTATGTTATGTATAATATAATTTTAGTCTAATGATGTTATCGCTCAAGAGCGCATTTTTTTAATATACGTTAATAGCCGAAGATAAAAATAGTTATAGTCGTAGTTTTTTTCTAATATATGATGATCACTAGATATTTATTATAATGGTATGTACATATATATGTATGTTATTAATATATGATGACTCAGTGTAGTATAATATGCTAAGAGTGTGTATATCATCTGAGTATTTTTAAAAATTATGAGATGTATTTAATTGTATGTAGATAGACTAGACGAACAGAATAGGGCAGTTTTGCGTCAACTTGGCTAATCTCTACAAAGTTCCATATTAACCTCGCAGATTATAATAGGTGTATGTAGATTTATAACGATTTGGAAAGGACATTATCTCTTAAGCATTTGTACTAATTATGAGAGATAACTGAAACCTCATCTTTGGTTTGCGGCCGATGGAACTGGATATTTATACTTGAGAGAGTTGCGGAGGACGTTTAAAAAATAACTTGCAAAAAGCATGTGGCAGTTATGACATTGCCAGAGGCTTATAGGATTACTCCAATGTGATAGCAAATATTTAATGGTTAGACTTAATTATTATACTCTCATTAAGTTCAAGAATTTAATTTACTTCAAGATTGTTCGTAGGAAAGTATAAGCCATAGATACATTGTTAATATAACCAAGAGCCCTTTTATGGCACCTTAAATTCCTCCTAACTTAGAGTATAGCATTCTGAGTAGCTCTTTTCTATTACGAGACAATCATCTAAACTTCTCCTTAAAGAGATAAATAACATAATTCAATAAATCTAACTGAATTTTCATGTGATGAAAAATCACACTATTACAATCCATAGCAAGGGCTATTCGGTTAGTGCCATTGATGTGGTTCGTCTTTGAAAATGGGTTCTTAGATACCCCATTGCTCTTATAATAAGATATAGCTCAATAAAGTTTTTCTCTGAATGCCATTTAATTTACTATAATGGCAAAAACCTATGTAATAACATCAAATACATTACTAATTAATATATTTCTCTTTTTGTATAACACAGTTTATACAATGATACATCCATCCAAATTTATTAATAATATATACACCATTCGGAAAGAGACTAGAAATAGAGGATATAACGAGCAGTCAAAGAGCGGACGTGAGAAAGAAATCTAGCCAAGTTTGACTAGGTGAGCAAAGAATCAGTGCTACCACGTTCTTTCCTTATGGATCCAGTATTAGTATAGCAAAATTGTCTTGAACTCACTATACTAAGATCAC